GATCAGGTAGTCGATCGGCTCCCTCCTTAGAGAAGACGTCGACGAAGTCCTGGTACTCCATTGGTATAGCACTAGCGAGAGCCTCGCCTACCAATGCCCTTGCCCAGAAGGGGTGTTGCTCGAGCATCATCTGTGTCTCGGGTGACGACCTCAACAGCCTGATGACCAGCTCTTCTGGGTCTTCTTCGTATATATCATACATGGTCCTGAAGCATCCCTTCACTTGACAATTGATGTTGTCGAAGGTAACTTTGTTCTGACCCCAATGTATGGTAGGTTGATGCTCTTTGAGCCATCGATGTGGTATGACGAGGTCTTCTCCTGCGAAGGAGCCAACCTCACAGACGATGTCTCTGTCTAGATGGTTGCCGACGCGGAGGGTAAGAGATTGGGTGATATGAGTGCCGGAGTTAGGCATAGGGGTACCGTCAGCCTGTCTGATGATGAGGGGCTTGGGTCGAGGTTGAGTTGGGATCTTTAGGCGATGGACACAGTTCCAGGACATAACCCAGTCCTCTGTTCCGCTGTCTAGGAGTGCGTTGACTGTTTCTGTATGTTGGGTACTAGTTGCGGGGTGGTTCCAAGAGATCTCAATCTCAAGGCGGGTTTCTTGGTTGTGTGAAGACATGTTCGTATGTTTTGAAAGTGTAAGGTAAGGGGGGTTGTTCTTGATGTTGATAGTTCTTGTTCTGAGCGCGGGGCGAGGGAGTTTATATAGAAAATTCGAGCGTTGATCAAATCATAGTACAACACTTATACGCCAGGCGTTTTCGGAATGTAACCCCGCTTCTCGAAATGTATGTAGAGAGAATTTAAATTGCGCAAAATAACAAAACCGATAGAACATAACATAACCCGATCCCTTAGAAAAGTCCTTCTTCCAAAACAGAATAGAAAAGCCGTAACACAACATAGAATAAAACACCGCATAAATAGAGATACCCAATCAATTTAGTCCTCCAAATTCGTAATCCTTGCCCTGAATGCCTCATTTTGTGGCCCCAATTTTCGTTTCTTATCACCCTCCCTTCCGTGATCCTTTCTCCCGGAAGGATATTCTTTTCTCTTCAGGTTCGTCAACCTGACCTTACTCGTCGCCACGCAATCCTTTACGAAGTGGTTATCTCTACCACAACGGAAACACTTTCCTTCCTTCTGCCATTTCTCCTTTTCTTCTTTGGTGACACCTAAGTCATCCGAGGTCTTGGAGTTGTTGGCTGATGCGGGAAAAGTTTTCCGAGGATTTGCGTTGTTGCGCGATTTCCGCCGTTCCGTTTTTTCCTCGCGAGGTTTCACAGTGTCTTTACCTCGCAGGATTTCTTTCCGAGCCTTCACCTCATGGTCCTTGCGTCCGACTTTTCGTACCCAGGCTAACCAGTCCACGAAATCATTCGGTTCCTCAATCGCATTGGAGAGCCGTTGTTCCAGCGAGGAGTTTATTCCTGTTAGGATCATGGATCTCATGACAACTGGTCCAACTCGTGCGTCCCATTCTAGGTTCTGCATCTCATTGATGTAGTCGTCGATTGGGCCAGTTTGCCGGAGTCTGTCCATCTTCTGCTTGGCCTGTTCCTGACTCGTGCGGTTGCCGTATTGGGTACGAAGTTCCTGCTTGAACTGTTCCCAGGTTCCGATACTGCGATCCACAGCTAACCTCTCCGTAAAATTCCGCCAAAAGTTTGCCGCACTACCGGTAAACTCGAGGGATGCCCACATAATCTTAGTGCCATCATCCCATTGGACCTTCTTCTGGAGACTGATTAGAATCTCCATCTGGTCGATCCAGAGTCTTACGTCTTGATCGGCTCTTCCGGAGAAGGGGATATTGGCCTTTTTGGGCGCATCACCTATGGTGGCGCGAGGGGGGTGCGAGAGTTCTTGCTCTCGTTGGCGCCTTCTTTCGTGCCTTCGTTTCTTACGTTCCAGCCGCTTGCGGCGTTCGCCTTCCGAATCTGAGGAATCCGATGGGGATGATCCGGGTGCTTCCGGGGCGTTACCTCCCTTATTGCCATTTCCGTTACCTCCACCTTGTGCTCCTTGACTTCCTCCCTTGTTGCCATTCCCGTTACCTCCTCCTTGTGCTTCTTGACCTCCTTGCTTCCCTTGTTGGCCTGGGTATTCGAGGTCTTCACTGGATTCGGAGCCGGCTGGAGGGGCGACTGGTTGTTGGGGAGGTGGTCTAGGAGGTGGGCCTGATCCACCGCCACCCGTCTCTGGGGCCAGTGGTTTTTCCGCAGCCGCTTTACGGGCTGTTTCCTTCATCTGCTCTATCATTTCTTCTAGAGCCGTCCTTGTCCCAGAGAACCCATCTACCAAGGAGACCTGCTGCTGCATGGTCCTCTCCAATTGTGCCAGTGTAGCTGATACGCCGTCTGGGACTTGGGCTGGGCCTTCTTTCGGCAGCCTTTGAATCCAGTCGGCCAGCATAGTTATGTGCTGGGCCTGCTCTTCCTGCCGCTGTTGGTGGGCCCTAGTGGTATTGGCGATCTGTTCCAAGACTTGGCCGAGGTTCGTAGTGGTCGCGGCTGTTTCTGCCCGCACTTGAGCGAGGATGTACCCCTCTCGGCGCTCCCGTTCTTCTTGGTCCTGGTTGAACTTCGTCTGCAATTCGCGGATGAGTTTGGTTTGCTCCTCGTGCTGCTGGGTAAGCTGTGCCGCGTGTTGCCGAGTAATTTCCCTGATTGCGGGTAGGTCTTGGACGCTCACAGTGAGGTCTCCAAGTCCGCGACTCAGTTGCTGAACCACTGGGGCTCCTCTCCGTTCGATTTCTTGCCCGATGATTTCTCCAAAGGGGTGCTCGATCCGGCGTTCCTCTACGTCCATATCCGTATCCTCGTCTTCGTCCGTTTCCCTGGGGACCGAGGGCCTCGGAATAGAAGATCGTTCTCTGATTGGCGTTTTGTATGGGGAATAATCTCGATAGTCCCCTTGCCTGCGGGAGCGGGGTTGGCCATAGGATGCGGCCGGCTGAGTCGATCTGAAGAGGTCGCTGATCGGCATGTCCAGATCCCTCCTGTGGCGCTGTCTCGCCTGGGTTTCGACTATACCTCGATCTCTCACGGTGATCGAGCTCTCCATGTTGTAGTCTTCCTCCATTTGTTGCTGATGACCCCTTGACATCGCTAAGTTGCTCGATTCTGAGTTGTGGCTGTCTTCTGCACCAGGGTTGAGCGACGAACCAAGGGACGGAATGAGCTAATCCGTGGGATTGCTGACTGAGGGTGACTTTGATGGGGAAAAGTTCGGGATAGTTGAGGATCTCCGGGTCGTGTTCTTCGAACGTGCAAGTAGTACCTGCTTCGGCAAAAAACCCGGCGTACTCAAGGTATCCGCAATAGAGGTGTTCGGCACTGCCTCTGCGAACGACAAAAGAGGTGGTGCAAGTAAAGTTGTTGATAGCTGCTGTTGCTTCTCGGGGATGCATACGGTATCAAAGAATCCTTCTAATAGACTACTTTCTTATTCTTTTACTTGAGCGCACGGTGACTATCCGCCACAAACAAAATACTCTCAAGTATCGGTCTAAGCAAGTAGTTGTCTTATCGGGACGTTGATAATATGCGATCGGTAAAATAATAGCGTAGTGGATAAGGTACAATATAGTGTTTGGGGAAATGCCAATGCTAAGCGATAGTTCTGTAGCTTTTAAACTTGTAATATTGTAAACCGGATTCCGCTCGCTGAGTGACTGATGATGCCACTAAGACGAGGCGGAATCCTTCCCTATTTATACATATTGGAACCTATGCCAAGGCCCGCTTTCTAATACTAATGAGATGACGATAATAGAATAAGACAATCAACCCGAAGATAACCCCAATAGGAAAAGCGGCCCCGCATAGTCCCGGTCATCTATTCTAATTCCGACACGTAACCATAAACCCCGCAATTGCCAGTAACCGAGCTGTATCATGCTATTGTCCTAGAGCTACTTCCCTAAGTAGAATGGCCTGCAGCCATAAGCCCCGCTTCTATTCCGTTCCGGGTGAGACACCCAATAGTAAGCGTGCCCTCACAACAGCCTAATACTAGTGTGGTTGCACCCGGTGCCCCCACACCCCTCGGTACCTTTCTATGCTTGTTCCCTCGTTACCCGACCGTACTCGCATCACAACCCATCACTCGTATTATCCTTATTCCTTGACTTTAGGAGCAGTGTTCGTGTTTCCTGTAACATCTGCTCTACCGGAAGCTATACTGGTAGACTTTGCTTCCTCAATCAGCTCAATATTCTGAATATCTCTACTCGATCGTCGCCTGGTTACGGCAGGCTTTACTTTCTTCTTAAAGTTTCGCAAAATCGTGCTTAGCTTGCACTTATAAAAACTCAGGCTTTCTTTGCTACGCCGATTTCTCAAAGGATCTGCTCGACAGGTGTTTTTAGGGGGTAACAGGCTTACGTTTCTTTCACGATACTTGGTGTTGACCTTGCTAAAAGATCCCGTTATCTGATTTACTATGACTTCACTATGCATAAAATATCATCGTGAAGCCATAAGACTAGCAATCACTTTCGTCTCTTTAAATAGAAGGCTATGCAAAATGGTGTAATGGATCATAGACTTTCGAATATACAGGCGGTGTGATATCACAAATGTCACCCCTATTGACAGATCTTTGCCGTTTCTGTCATGTCTAGGATCAAATTGGTCGAGTTTGGTTCATGAACGGGATCAAGAATTTACATGGCTTACTCCATGGTTTTCCTCCCTGGGAAAATTGGTTGTCTGAATTGATATAAACATACCGCGCGCCATTTTTCAATTCTTCTTTTAAGAAAGCTAGGACACGGTTATCAATATGTTTTGTCTTGTATATACATAGTGCTATTAGGCACGTTGCTTTTTGGAACGAATCAATGCTTCAACTATAATTTCAATTACATTTCCCCAGCACTTTCCAAACGCCCAACCCCGAAAACCCAACATCGAACCAAAGCCACCAATTCCTCACAAGGAACACTACCACCCCCACCCCACCCCGAAACGGTCTAGCCAAATTCATCCACAAACCGTCACCCTCCTCCTCGGCCTCAACACCCGCCACGGTGAAAGCCACGGCGTCAGTCCCCGCCTGTCTCTGCGCTCCACATCCGCTCCCCACTGTATCAACAGGTCAATCATCTTCCTATACCCAAGATTCGCCGCGGTATGCAGCGCGGTGTCGCCGGAGATGTCGGCTTCATTGACCGGTATCTGCATGGTCAGCACATAGTAGAGGATCTGTTCATCGCCGGTGACTACGGCGGTGTGGAGAAGACTTCTGGAACAGTCATTGGTATCAGTAAAACGGATTGGAAGGATAGGTAGGTGTTCCCTAGAGTGGATAGAATCAACTTACCTCCCAAGTTTGTCCTTGACCTTCGTGTTTGCCCCAAATTCCAACAGATTAGTTAATATCGGTGCCGCCCTCAGCGACACCGCGTATGCCAGCGGCGTCCCGAAATCTGGATGGTTCTGATCGACGTTGTAGCCGCGCTGGAGCAGATCGTACACCTTTTTCTTATCTCTATTTCTGACAGCATCGTGTAGGGAATATTCCGGCGCAGTGAATAGAGGAGGAGACGGCACCGGGTATAGTGCTATCGAGGGCACGACGTTGTGGTAGGGCATGGCAATAATGGGAGCTGGTGCTGTCAGATTATGGTTCGGGGGCGGTGTACCGCTGACACTTCGCGTTGATGTTTCGTTGGCCAATGTCCTGCTGCGTGTGGGATGTGGGTTACCGCCGGTGTTGGTTGCGGTCGAACTGGTAACATTTGCCGACCCAGTAACATAGCTCCCGAAATCCCTCACCGCAGCGTCTCTTGTAAACCCCCCCACAATCCCACACCTCTCATCCGAAGACTCCACGAACATCGCACTATATCCAGCCTTTCTCAGCTCCGTAAACATATGTGAAGGTCGGAAGAGCACACTAACCTGGCAAACAGCAGTAGCGTCAACTTATGACTCATCAGCTCCAGCAGCAGCGAGCTCAAAGTCTTTTCCGTGCATGCGTATTTTATGCCTTCCCGGAGCTTGCTGCCATGTGAGGCAACGCGGTCCAGCTCACTGTGCAGGTCGGAGAGTGTATTGCCGGCAGCGATGAGGGCGTCTTTGAAGGGATCAAGGGGGGGCGGGGGGGATGTTTTTGTCTGCAGGTTGGTGACGATGCTTGTGAAGATCTTGACCTCGCTTTTGAGATTTTCAATGGCGCGACGGGCATGTATGACGTCGGAGACGAAGCGGTTCAGCATGTCACTGACCTGGAGTCCAGTGGCTAGAAGGCCGCTTAGGGAAAGTGCTACCTCCATACCTTTTTCCTAGGTTATGCGATGTTAATAGAGCAGTAACTCAGCGTCCGACGTTGTCCTCGCTGCGAATATGTGAGATCTCCAGCCTACTGTGAGCCTAAGCAGCGATAAGCTACTTCGTAAGGGAGATGAGATATACCTTCCTAAGCAAGCAAACCAGCGCCTGTGCTTATTGTAGAAGAGGAAAATGAGTGCCACCCGAGAACCTGGAAGATAAATGTTCTACCTATTTGTAGCTCTCGCCGAGCCCCGCTTTTACCCCGCTTGCTGACATCATTCAAAGTGTTGTTTGAGAACGAGCGTATCAAGGGCAGCCAACTGGTGTTCCGTGCGCAGTGGTGCGCAATGCAGCGCGACTGAGAGCATGATTGGCCTGGTCAGGTGATACCGGCCACAGCCGTGGCAATGACCGCCGCCAACACTGGCAGGAAGGCCAGTTGGCTCGAATGACAACAAGAAACGTAAAGCATGGTTGTGAGCCGCGTAGAAGCAAGTAGACACGCTCCTCAAGTAAAGCTCCTTTCATTTGTTTGTGAGATGCAAAGTCCTCGATCCGCCACATGGGTAGTCTAAGAGTAGGATGTGCAATATTCCATGAGACGACTCCTAGGATCCTCCCACGAATCAGGCTGTTGATACTCCGCAAGTCCTAGCTAGGGCCTTAGCGACCGACTGGGAATCTGTGCCAAGAGCACGTAACTATAAGCGCCAATAATGTCTGCGCGTTCTTGCATCCATCGAGTGACAGATCATGTCGCACCAGGCCGAGCCAAGGAACACTTGACCCATTGCAAACCCTCGTACCATCCAAGGCAAGGTCTCTCGACCGTTCTATCTTTTATTCTTCTCTGCTCTTCTTTGAAGGACCACTACACACATTCATCTCCTTGTCAGATTATAATCCCGGAGATACTCAACATCACGCGCGTGCCCGCGCCCTTCCCCGGGTTTCAAGATCTGCCTCGGATCTTGTTACAGGAAACACGAACACTACTCCTAAGTTAAGAAATAAGGATAATATGAGTGATGGGTTGTGATGTGAGTACGGTCGGGTAACGAGGGAATAAGCATAGAAAGGTACCGAGGGGTGTGGGGGCACCGGGTGCAACCACACTAGTATTAGGCTGTTGTGAGGGCACGCTTACTATTGGGTGTCTCACCCGGAACGGAATAGAAGCGGGGCTTATGGCTGCAGGCCATTCTACTTAGGGAAGTAGCTCTAGGACAATAGCATGATACAGCTCGGTTACTGGCAATTGCGGGGTTTATGGTTACGTGTCGGAATTAGAATGGAGGAACGGAACTATGCGGGGGTGCCTTTCTACTGAGGTTATCTTCGGGTTGATTATCTTATTCTATTATCGTTATCTCTTTAGTATTAGAAAGCAGGCCTTGGCATAGGTTCCAATATGTATAAATAGGGAGGGTTCTGCCTCGTCTTAGTGGCATCATCAGTCACTCAGCGAGCGGAATCCGGTTTACAATATTACAAGTTTAAAAGCTACAGAATTACCACTTAGCATTGGCATTTCCCCAAACACTATATTGTACCTTATCCACTACGCTATTATTTTATCGATCGCATATTATCAACGTCCCGATAAGACAACTACTTGCTTAGACCAATACTTGAGAGTATTTTGTGTTGCGGATAGTCACCGTGCGCTCAAGTAAAAGAATAAGAAAGTAGTCTATTAGAAGGGCTCTTTGATACCTTATGCATCCCCGAGTAGCAACAGCAGCTATCAACAACTTTACTTGCACTACCTCCTTCATCGTTCGCAGAGGCAGTGCCGAACATCTCTATTGCGGATACCTCGAGTACGCCGGGTTTTTTATTGAAGCAGGCACTACTTGCACGTTCGAAGAACACGACCCGGAGATCCTCAACTACCCTGAACTCTTCCCCATCAAAGTCACCATCAGACAGCAATCCTACGGATTAGCTCACGCCGTCCCTTGGTTCGTCGTTCAACCCTGGTGCAGAAGACAGCCACAACTCAGAATCGAGCAACTTAGCGATGTCAAGGGGTCATCAGCAACGATCGGAGGAAGACTACAACATGGAGAGCTCAATCACAGTGAGAGATCGAGGTATAGTCGAGACCCAGGCGAGACAGCGCCACAGGAGGGACCTGGACATGCCGATCAGCGACCTCTTCAGATCGACTCAGCCGGCCGAATCCTATGGCCAACCCCGCTCCCACAGGCAAGGGGACTATCAAGACTATTCCCCGTACAAAACGCCAATCAGAGAGAGGTCTTCTATTCCGAGGCCCTCGGTCCCCAGGGTAACGGACGAGGACGAGGATACGAATATGGACGTAGAGGAACGCCGTATCGAGCACCCCTTTGGAGAAATCATCGGGCAGGAAATCGAACGTAGAGGAGCCCCAGTGGTTCAGCAGCTCAGCCGCGGACTTGGAGACCTCACTGTGAGTGTCCAAGACCTCCCTACAATCCGGGAAATCACTCGGCAGCACGCTGTGCAGCTTACCCAGCAGCACGAAGAACAAACCAGACTCATCCGCGAATTGCAGATGAAGTTCGACCAGGACCAAGAAGAACGGGAGCGCCGCGACGGGTTTATCCTCGCGCAAGTGCGGGCAGAGACAGCTGCAACCACTACGAACCTCGGTCAAGTCTTGGAACAGATCGTCACCACTACTAGGGCCCACCAACAGCGGCAGGAAGAGCAGGCTCAGCACATAACTATGCTGGCCGACTGGATCCAGAAGTTGCCAAAAGATGGCCCAGCCCAAGTCCCAGAAGGCGTAGCAGCCACACTGGCACAATTGGAGAGGACCATGCAGCAGCAGGTCTCCTTGGTAGATGGGTTCTCTGGAACAAGGACGGTTCTAGAAGAAATGATGGAGCAGATGAGGGAAACAGCCCGTAAAACGGCTGCGGAACCACCACTGGCCCCAGTAACAGGTGGCGGCGGATCAGGCCCACCTCCCCAACCACCCCCCCAACCACCAGTCGCCCCTCCAGCTGGCTCCGAATCCAGTGAAGACCTCGAAGACCAAAGCCTAGCACCAAGAAGCAACCCTAAGCATAATAGCCAACAAGGGAAGCAAGGAGGTCAAAGAGCACAAGGTGGAGGTAACGGGAATGGCAATAAGGGAGGTAATGCCCCGAGAGCACCAGGATCATCCCCATCGGATTCCTCAGATTCGGAAGGCGAACGCCGCAAGCGGCTGGAACGTAAGAAACGAAGATACGAAAGGAGGCGCCAACGAGAGCAAGAACTCTCGCATCCCCCTCGCGCCACCGTAGGTGATGCACCCAAAAAGGCCAACATTCCCTTCTCCGGAAAAGCCGATCAAGACGTAAGACTCTGGATCGACCAGATGGAGATTCTAATCAGCCTCCAGAAGAATGTCCAATGGGATAACGGCACCAAGATTATGTGGGCATCCCTCGAGTTTACCGGTAGTGCGGCAAATTTTTGGCGGAATTTTACGGAGAGGTTAGCTGTGGACAGCAGCATCGGAACCTGGGAACGGTTCAAGCAGGAACTTCGCACCCAATATGGCAACCGTACGAGTCAGGAGCAGGCTAAGCAGAAGATGGACAAGCTCCGTCAAACTGGCCCAATCGACGAGTACATTAACGAGATGCAGAACCTGGAATGGGATGCACGAGTTGGACCAGTTGTCATGAGGTCCATGATCCTAACAGGAATAAACTCCTCGCTGGAACAGAGGCTCTCTAACGCGATTGAGGAACCTAATGATTTCGTGGACTGGTTAGCCTGGGTACGAAAAGTCGGACGCAAGGACCACGAGGTGAAGGCGCGGAAAGAAATCCTGCGAGGTAAAGACCCTGTGAAACCTCGCGAGGAAAAAACGGAACGGCGGAAATCGCGCAACAATGCAAATCCTCGGAAAACTTTCCCCGCATCAGCCAACAACTCCAAGACCTCGGATGACTTAGGTGTTACCAAGGAAGAGAAGGAGAAATGGCAGAAGGAAGGAAAGTGCTTCCGTTGTGGTAGAGATAACCACTTCGTGAAGGATTGCGTGGCGACAAGTAAGGTCAGGTTAACGAACCTGAAGAGAAAAGAGCATCCTTCCGGGAGAAAGGACCACGGAAGGGAGGGTGATAAGAAACGGAAATTGGGGCCACAAAATGAGGCATTTAGGGCAAGGATTACGAATTTGGAGGACTAAATTGATTGGGTGTTTCTATTTATGCGGTGTTTCATTCTATGTTGTGTTACGGTTTTTATTTGGGAAAAAGACTTTTCTAAGGGATCGGATTATGTTATGCTCTATCGGTTTTGTTATTTCGCGCAAATTCAATTCTCTTACACACACTCTGAGGATGGGGTTACACCCCAAAATGTCTGGGGCGTAAGCGTGGTACCATGATCTTCATCAACGCGTGAATTTCCTATATAAACCACCTCACCCCGCGCTCAGAACAAGAACTATCAACATCAACCCACTCATACCCAAGAACAATCTATCTTACCTTACACTTTTTTAACATACGAACATGTCTTCACATCATCAAGAAACCCGCCTTGAGATTGAGATCTCTTGGAACCACCCCGCAACTAGTACCCAACATGCAGAAACAGTCAACGCACTCCTAGACAGCGGAACAGAGGACTGGGTTATGTCCTGGAACTGTGTCCATCGTCTAAAAATCCCGACTCAACCTCGACCCAAGCCCCTCATCATCAGACAGGCTGACGGCACCCCGATGCCTAACTCCGGCACTCACATCACCAAATCTCTTACCCTCCGCGTCGACAACCATCTAGACAGAGACATCGTCTGTGAGGTTGGCTCATTCGCAGGAGAAGACCTCGTCATACCACATCGATGGCTCAAGGAGCATCAACCTACCATACATTGGGGTCAGAACAAGGTCACCTTCGACAACATCAATTGTCAAGTGAAGGGATGCTTTAGGACCATGTATGATATATACGAAGAAGACCCAGAAGAGCTGGTCATCAGGCTGTTGAGGTCATCACCCGAGACACAGATGATGATCGAGCAACACCCCTTCTGGGCAAGAGCATTGGTAGGCGAGGCTCTCGCTAGTGCTATGCCGATGGAGTACGAGGACTTCATCGATGTCTTCTCTAAGGAGGGAGCTGATCGACTACCTGATCACTCTGAATGGGACCATACCATTCCCCTTATGGAAGGAAAGCAGCCTCCATGGGGACCGATCTATGCGCTCTCCCCAGTGGAACAAAAGGCACTCCGGGAGTACCTGGACGAAATGCTAGCCTCTGGCAAAATAGTCCCCTCCACCAGCCCGGCGGCAGCACCGATCCTGTTCGTGAAGAAAGCCAATGGAAAACTGAGGTTGTGCGTAGACTTTCGTGGCTTAAATGCTATCACGGTCAAGAATCGCTACCCCCTTCCACTCATGACAGAGTTGGCCGATTCGACGAAAGGAGCAGAGTTCTTCACCCAGATAGACCTGAAAAATGGCTATAACTTGATTAGGATTGCTGCTGGCGAGGAATGGAAAACAGCTTTCAGAACGAAGTACGGCCACTTCGAATATAGGGTAATGCCTTTTGGCTTAACCAATGCACCAGCGTCGTTCCAGGTCATGGTTAATACCATATTCAAGGATCTTCTAGATCAAAGCGTAGTAGTCTACTTGGATGATATTCTAATATATTCAAAGACTAAGGAAGAGCATACGACTCTTGTGAGAAAGGTATTGGAACGACTGCAGCAAAACCATCTATACGGGAACCTCGAGAAAACGGAATGGCACAAACAGGAGGTAGAATTCCTGGGATTCGTACTATCAGGGAAAGGGAACCAGGTCTCGCCTAAGAAGGTAAAGGCAATCACGGAATGGTTACCACCCACCAAGGTCAAGGAACTTCAATGTTTCCTTGGATTCGCCAACTTCCTACGACGGTTCATCCACAGGTACTCCGAAGTTTGCCGACCAATGACCGATCTCCTGAAGAAAGGTTCCGTATGGCGATGGAGCAGTGAACAGCAAAGCGCTTTCGACGAACTCAAGGAGAAATTTACGTCTGCTCCAATACTACGACACTATGACGAACACCGTGAAGCGATCATAGAAACTGACGCGAGTGACTGGGCTGAGGCCGCAGTACTCTCTCAGGTGTTCGAGGACAGTATTCTACACCCGGTAGCTTACCACTCTCGCAAGTTCAACAAGGCAGAGGTAAACTACGAGATCTATGACAAGGAGATGCTCGCTATAGTTTCTGCTCTCTTGACTTGGAGACATTGGCTGGAAGGAACGGATATTCCTATCCAGATACATTCGGATCATCAGAACCTATAGTACTTCACAACGACCAAGAAGTTGTCGAGAAGACAAGCCAGATGGGCCGAAAAGATAGCACCTTTTCGCTTCAGGATTCATTACCGACCAGTGGAAAAGAACGGCAAGCCAGATGCACTTACAAGGCGCCCAGAGTTCGCTATGGAAGGGGGAGTAATGCGAGAACAACCCGTGAAACAGTTGCTCAGCGCAGAACAATTTGTCAGGAAATCACGGACCAGTGTAGAAACTGGCCCTGAAATCATTGGCAACCCCGAAGAAGGATGGACTCCGTTGGATCAGTGGTACGACATACCAGGTACTGAGCTGCCTCAGCCACTACAAGACTGGTATGAACAGGACAGACAATGGGTTCGGAGAGTGTTCCGGGATGAACCTCTCCCTGACGCAAACCTTGAAGTCTTCGGGACAGAGGAAGCTGATGCCGTAATAACGGAGCTTGCCACTGAATGGACCCCGGGATCGAATGAGGCCACCCACGACGGTCGTTGGGTAGTGCCAGGATACGCGGTCAGACAAGTCATTGAGGATCATCATGACAGACCCGTAGCGGGGCATCTAGGAAGGGATAAAACCCTTGAGTTGATCGATAGGAACTACTGGTGGCCAGGAATGTCCACGGATGTAGCCAACTTCGTCAAGACTTGCGATGTGTGCCAGAGAGCCAAGCAACGTCGGAGACACTTGTCACTCCCTCAACCCCTAGAGTTAGCCACTACACCTTGGACTGATATCTCAATGGATTTCGTAGTAGAAATGCCAAAGGAGAAATCAGGATTCCGTAACGTATTGGTAGTCGTGGACCGTTTTACGAAAATGGCTCACTTCATTCCAATGACGGGAATCAACGCGGAACAGACCGCTAACGCCTTTGTCAAGGATATTTGGCGTTTTCACGGACTTCCTAGGAGCATTGTCTCTGACAGGGGAACACAGTTCGTTTCGGCATTCTGGGCTGCGGTCACAGAACGACTAGGGATTCGTAGAAGACTCTCGACGTCGTTCCACCCACAGACGGATGGACAAACAGAAAAGACCAACCAGCACCTCGAGTCCTACATCCGGGCCTATACCGCCGGAACAGGAAAGAAATGGAAGGACCTACTACCGATTTGCGAGTATGCATATAATAATGCGAAGCACTCGTCGACAGGACAATCGCCGTTCTACTGTAACTATGGTTTCCACCCACGAACAGATTGGCCAACGGATGCGAAAATCGGACAGCTGGATGCCAAGGGAAGCACCTACCTGAAAGACCTTCCCCTAGCCCATGAGTCAGCGAGAGACACGCTGCAGAAGACATTTGACAGGATGGCGTCAAGGCCAGGGGCAGCAGCTCAGCGATTCACAATCGGTCAAAAGGTTTTGCTGGATACTCGGAACCTCGGCGGTTACAATAAATGGTCGGACAAGTTCACAGGCCCCTTCGAGGTCGCCGCGGCTGTAGGAAACCGGGCTTATAGGTTGAATCTTCCGGTAGAATGGAAGGTTCATGACGTGTTCCACGAGATGTTGTTGCGACCTTATCGAGAGGATCCCAACCCTGGCAGGCAACAGAACACACGAAAACGACTCGCAACACCCGATCCTCAAGAAGCGCTCTTAGATGAGAACTTCAAACCAACCATGAATACTCGGCCCCATACACGGAGTCAAGGGCCAGTAATCGACTCGACTCGGCCTCCGAAACGACAACGGACTAGGGAAGACTAGCTCGATACCTTTCCTACTCTATGACTTTTCCCACAGGGTTTTTATCATAGAGAGGTTTTAACGGTCGAGGGCGACGTCTAGGAAAGGGGAGTAGTGTTACAGGAAACACGAACACTACTCCTAAGTTAAGAAATAAGGATAATATGAGTGATGGGTTGTGATGTGAGTACGGTCGGGTAACGAGGGAATAAGCATAGAAAGGTACCGAGGGGTGTGGGGGCACCGGGTGCAACCACACTAGTATTAGGCTGTTGTGAGGGCACGCTTACTATTGGGTGTCTCACCCGGAACGGAATAGAAGCGGGGCTTATGGCTGCAGGCCATTCTACTTAGGGAAGTAGCTCTAGGACAATAGCATGATACAGCTCGGTTACTGGCAATTGCGGGGTTTATGGTTACGTGTCGGAATTAGAATGGAGGAACGGAACTATGCGGGGGTGCCTTTCTACTGGGGTTATCTTCGGGTTGATTATCTTATTCTATTATCGTTATCTCTTTAGTATTAGAAAGCAGGCCTTGGCATAGGTTCCAATATGTATAAATAGGGAGGGTTCTGCCTCGTCTTAGTGGCATCATCAGTCACTCAGCGAGCGGAATCCGGTTTACAATATTACAAGTTTAAAAGCTACAGAATTACCGCTTAGCATTGGCATTTCCCCAAACAGATCTCTGTACAGCTCGATGTCGATTCTCGGGAATAGCAGGTGCAGGTCGCGACTATGCCTGACCTCGCTTCGAGACACATGTGGATCAGTTCATGACAGTGAAGCTCGTCGACCGAAAAGAAAAAGGAAGAACTGAATATTAGTTCCTTGGATACTGATCTGAATTGTGGGAGCTCCGGAGTAATTTATCACATACCAGACAAGAGAAGGTAACTATAGATATTCTTTCCAAATTCCAATCCTAACTTCTGAAGAAGGTTTTTCCAGTCTCTTTGAGCGCGTTGTGTGGCGTTCAGTTCGATTGGGTCAAAACAGATGAACACAGGTGAGGATTGTTTATAAGAAGTCTAGCAGTTCTAGTCTATAAATAGTCCTAAATCTAGTGTAACACCCTCTAATAGCCCGGTAAATGCATCAATTATATCTTTTGCCATACAAGTAGAATAATAAAAGGCATAAGATGAGACGATAAAGCACATTTATAGACGATGTCTTGTGTGAATATATCCGTGGATAGTTTTACTTACGACTTTACAACCTGTAATACCTTTTACCTACGACTTTGCTTATTACTTTGCCACTTCCGAACCCTTTTCTATTTCCAACAGAAAATATTTTTTTTCCGATTAAGTACTCACCAGAATCTTGAGATAATGGATATCTGAATCTGAATATATCAATAGGATCACCAGATGCTCTCCTATATTAATGGGCTTGTGACATTTGGGGGATACAATTTAAATTTAGAAAATGCGTTGTTCAATTCGAATATAGAGGTATTTCTGACTTTATAACTCCTGCCGTTGTGTGATTTCCTTAGTCATTATATTGGATAGTTTTGTCAAATGAAGCAACTGAAGCTCCGAATGCGATCAGAAGTACTAAAGCTACCGAAGCTTATTCCCTTGCTGCTAGGGGTACACTTGTCTGGTATATTTTTGGTAAGATCGTTGGTAAAATCGTTGGTAAAGTAGTCCAATTTCCCTAGCTACAACTTTACTAATATATTTACATACTCAAAATTACTATACAATTGAGAAACAAATTTCCCGATATATCTAATAAGTATATAGATATACCGATATGCAATGTGTTATTTAAAGGTTTTGATTGGCCAGGTTTGAGGGATTTTCTTTTTCTCTATCAAATATGTTTGTTAGTAAGTAGATATTCTATCAAATATGTTGGAGTTAGTAGATATTCTATCAAATATGTTTGAGTCAGCCAGTAGATATTGGTTCCAACATACCTTGAGTCAACTAAATAGTATATCAGATATGTGCATAGGGCATTTTGGGGTTTCAGTGATCTTAAGCGTTGGTAAACTGATATAGTTTAAGCCATAACAGTTCCTACTCCGGCCAAAGGCCGGAAAATGCTTGTAGCAAATAGTCTTGCAAAGGTTTGGAAACGGAAGGTAGAGAGTCACAGGGAGCATGTTGCAGAACTCTTCAAAGCGACTCTTTACACCATCCGATCCCCCCGATCCCCTCCGATATCCCCGCACTGCCGCCAACCATGAGCGGGGATAGTATTTCTCAGACTGCTAGACCTTTCCTGTGGTTTCCAATTTTCCCCCCCGTCCAGGTCAACAGGTGGTAGTCTAGTTAGACAATGCCGGGTGATGAACGATCAGTGTCCATTTCGAAAGTATAAGGCGGGCGATGATGACATACGCCACCTGTTGAGTATCCAGCCTCAGGTCTTGGCACTGTTCTAATCTCCTGGCCAACGTACCCTCCCCACTAACCTTGATTCCTAGTACGTCCCTCTCACTAAACGTTAACTACTGAGATAGGAAATTGGTGAGTGGGACAGTATTGACAAGTGGGGCCCCAGTGGTCAACGTTGATCACTGGTACGGCTTCAAGATATACTTCTAACGTCGAACCTGTCAGCCAGTCGAACCTGTCAGTCAGAGATACGAGGTGTATAAATCGGGTTACAGTCAAACTCATAATCCTGTTCATAAGAGATGATAAGACATTTTGTATTCACGCAGGAAGCGATAGTACACATTTCATCCCGTGATGTTTCACCGGGAGTCTCTTCTGTGGGTTTTTTGATTAGGTGGGGAGTGGCAGCTAAGTCTTGTTGCCCTATACTTGAGGTATGGCTAAACGAGTCGGTGAATGGTGTCCAAATGGTTAAGGAACATGGTATCCGGTGGTGGCTAGGGCCCCACTGATCCACGAATTTGGCTTGTATTGATTACTGGGGCCCTAGTGATCAATACGGTCTCATTGATCAACGGGTTGTCCCAGCCAAAAATATTGATGGCTGGGATTTGTTGACGAGGAGGTCAGAATAGCGCCAACCTTGATACTACCTGCTCAAGAGCCAATTAGAAGTACGCTGGGCATGAGATAGATGATAGACAAGTTGCAAGAGGATTCCCTCACTAAATACGCTGGCTATGAAGTAGGCACTGCATTTCGAATCATTTTCAACGGTGAGCACGTGTAAACCAGACCGTATCCCCGTGATGCGCTGGTTTTGGGACCATCTCCAAGTACTGCGTTCGAATAATGGTTTCTGATTTATACAGAGCGCGCTCAGCGTAAGCAACCACTGGTGGCCAAGTGTTATCTCGCCTCTCAAATTGAAAGTTGTCGTTAATTAAAAGCAGAATGCCGCCATAACTCGAAAAATTGGCTAGATAAAAATTACTTGTACAAGAAACTTCTGGTGCAGATTGATGCCATTCAACCAATCACTCAAGTGGTAATCCGTGGACAGAGATAGCCAATTTTTCGAGTTTTGGCGGTAGACATGATGGTGCGAAATAAGACCTCCACACATACGTCATATCTTAGGCGATGCCTGTTACTCTCAGTAGCCCCCGGCAGCTGCCGTTAGCGTCATGCAGGTACCGAGCAGGGATCAGTGGGTCATGGGTGGTATGCAGGTACGGATCTACCCGAAGCGGGATGACGCAGCTGGTTGTACCAACTCGCGATCGAAAGTTGCTTTCTTCGACCCACTAATCCGACGCCATGGCGGCCAGATGACGGGACTTGAATCAATAGTAAATCCCGACTAGTGTAAACTACCTTTTTCTGAGCGCACTTGTCGTCGTTTTTCGTCTTTCTCGATATTTAATATTTCGTCCTACAATTGCATAGATCTGACTCGTCTTGTGCGCTTCTCTACACTATAAGGTAGTATTCTTATACGATAGACTAATTTTCCTACGCTCGTGGACTATCTTACTAAACCAGCCAAACTACGGATAAGCCGCCATTCAAGGCTAACTCTCAATCCACCTCAACGAGAGCAGCAAAGGCATCAAAACACAATATAAGGTACCTGGTCCTCTGATCCTCCGAACCTTTATACGCAGGGATGGTGGGTAATGAGCTCCTGAGACGTAGTCGATGCGGAAAACCAGGTAAGGTTAGGGTTAGTTCGTATTGGTCTTCATATATCACTCGCCAACTCCTCTCACCGGTGAAGCTGCCAAGCTTTAATGAGGCCACATTACGACCGCGCGCTCCAAGGATGTCTCAGAAGTACACTATCTCTGCTCCTGAGACCCGAAAGGACACGTTGTGTCATGGCGGAAGCTTGGTGTGGAAACGCCGGAGGTGGCCTTGCGGGGGTTGGTGGTAGGTAAGAAAGAGGTAAAGTGATCCGGCAGGAGGTGGGATTGCGGGGTTGATGTATTGATTGGTCAGTGAACGTTGGAAGTATGTGCGGTATTATGGCTACTTTTTTAGTTCATGAATACTGACTTCCTCTCCCCTCTCCTCACAACCTTGTTCCCTGAAGAAAGAGGAGTTTAAGGAAACTCAACGGACACAAGCATTGCATTGACCCAGCGTCCCATCGGCTTTTTGGCGGCGGCGGGTTTAGTACCCACTATATACCTACCGACGCTACTCTCCAGTGACAATAAGAGAATTGACACAGCTCGGCAAAGGAGGGAAGCGGAAGAGACCGCAGCGAGGATCACAAGAGCACAAGTCGTGCACTCAAGATCCCCTAATGTGCGCGCATGAGGAATTCACAAGCATGGATTGCAATCCAGCGGTCGCGCGGTGTGGTGCGGGGTATACGAATAGATATGTAGATGTTTTAACACGTTTCAGGAGGACTCGGTTGAGCACATGTGTTAGGTTTCCGAGAGCCTATAAAACTACGGCGCAGCAGCCCACTTGATATAACTATCATCACTCTTCCTTCCTGCATCTAAGCAAACAGCCGATAAATAGGTCTTAAACACCAATAGCTCGCGTCCGGCGGGGGTGCGTCACCGAATCTCACTCGGGTAACTCCTTATATGAGAGAATCGGAAGATTTGGCGCGCAGTAATGGAATATCTAGTAGTATCCGGCTGGAATATATGTCTGGGCTACAAATACAGCTTTTGCAAATTGTGGAAATTGATGAGAACTCAATTCCCAGCGGTGAAGATCACGGGAAAGGTGCGGGAAAGCAGAACACTCTGTCGGCGTTCCGGTACGCCCTTAGTTGAGTATTGAAGTCATTTCAGCAAACAGACACCGCCATACTACCGTTGCCACAGCGGTGGCTTACCGGAGGTCTTCGGTCACACCACAAATTCCAGTTCGACCACTCATATTCGCCGTGGCGTCTGCGGTGACGATATTTGGCAGCCTTGACTACGGTCGCTTCCAAACAAGCTTCTAGCCATCAACGATGCTCTTAAGCGAGGTCGGGGATCCTAGGATAACTATCATTCTACAAAGAGTGGAATAAGAACCAGTGCTTTGCTTTGGAAAGGTAGAGCTGTCTCATCTGCGCCCTTCTTCTTTGCGTGTCCTTGCATAAACTGACAGTTAGAAGTTAGCGAGTCTGCGCTGCTTCAGCACTTTCCACCAACCCCCCCCCCTCTCCAACCAACGAAAATCATGGAATTCGCCGCCTCCATCGCCGGCCTCATCTTAGTCGCCACGGAAATCACTAACCCGTCACCCGCTTCGTCAATTCCGCGCACCAAGACCCCGCGGCAATCACGTTCCTCACCAGCGAGGTCTCCACCTTCACACACATCCTCGCCACCACCCCACCCTCAACCTCCCCTCCCTTGGCTCCTCGGACACGCATCTCTCCGCCGCCCTCTCCGCCGCCCGCTGCACGCTCACCGACCTGCAAAGCGAGCTCGCTAGAATGACCGCCGGCGGAGGCGCCCGCTTCTGGGAGCGCGTGAGGTATGCGAGTGCTGAGAGCACGCTGACGGCGCTGGTGGGCAGGCTGGGCTGCCATAAGCTTAGGCTGCTGCTGTGTCTAAATTTCTTGACGAGGTTGAGTCTCTTCCCCTGTTCCATGAAGCGTGGAGAGGACTGTGCAGCTTAGGGAGTGTGTAGGGCTGAGCACGCCGGCTGCAAGAAGGTGACGCGGAGAATCATTAAAGCGCTTAAGCGGTAGAGCGCCTCGGTATCTTCGCTTGACAGTGCTGGTACGGTGGCCTGGAGCTCGAGCATCACGTGCTCCACCACGTCGACCACCAGCGGCGCATATACATGCCAGCCCACCGCAACCAGTACCAGCACAGCACTACCCCCGGCGAACTGCGCGCCGCCATACTACAACTACGCCCCACCCCCGGCTCCACACCTCCACCTTCTGCCGCGCCTTGCTACACCTACAACTACAACTGCATACCCACCGCGACCCCCGCAACCACCCCCTACTTCTACTACTACTACGACTACTACCTCTTTACCCCCCTTTTCCCCTTTTCACCAGTCCCCCCACATATTCCCCCGTTCTCTCCGACCCTTACCCCCCCTCACGCAGCGATCGCCTCCCGCGCAACCCAGACACTCACCGCACTCCTTGCGCAGGTCTACAGCCCAAACACAAACCACCCAACCCACGGCAAACCCCTCTCCTACGCCGTCCACACGCAGCACCTACCATCCGTTGAGATGTTGCTGTTCGGGGGCGCTAATGTTGGTCAAGAGCGTCATGGAACAGCAAGTCCTCACTCATTCTGGCTTCTTCCCCCCAGTGCTAATAATGCTGACGCACGACAGAAGCCTGTTACACTCAGCGTGCTACTATGGCGACGAGATGATCGTGGGGTATCTTTTAGCGATGGGCGCAGCGGTGGGGGATGTGGATGGCGAGGGGCACATGCCGGTGAGTGTGGCAATAGGGGCGGGGTGGTTGGGGGGTGGCGTTACTGAGGGCGTGGGGTGCGGGGGCGTGAGGGGCGGTGGCAGGGGTGCGGCGGTGGGAGGTAATTTTCGTGGTGGTGAATAGTCGTTCCGGCGCGGTCAGTGGTGTTCTCTTCGCAGTCCAGTCTACTCGGACTACACTGTCTACACATTCTCTTATTCGTTAGCCTATTTTTGCATTTTCCCGCCCTGCCCCTGCCTGCCCCTTTCCGTTACCGATCCCTCATAGCACGTAGTCTAGGAGTTGGAAAATACTTTTTACCCAGATTTTTCTTTTTCCTTCTGGTCGTCCTGGCCAGCAAAAAGTAATTAGTTTTTGGTTTAGAAATAATATTATGGGGATTTTTCATAAAACACATTTTTCACGGTGGGCTTGGCCCGTAGTGACATCAGTGGATGGTGCTGCGCTGGGTGGGAGCGTGATGGTGGTGGTGGTGGTGGTGGTGGTGGTGGTGGTGGTGGTGGTGGTGGTGGTGGTGGTAGTCATGGAAGGGTTAGGGTTCTTACAATCACCGAGCTTTCACTCTAGGGTTAGCTCGTCAACGGATGCGACGCTTGCAATCGACGAACTACTACTTACGGCCATACCCTAACGTCGGTTGCTCATGTGGTGGTGGTGGTGGTGGGTGATCTGATTAGATGTGGTGTGGGTGTGAGAGGGGGGTGGTGAGTGCCAAGACATACCTCACGACATATGTATGTACAAGTAGGGTGTGAACTTGGCGCTTGCCTGTACGGTATTGTATCGTGGATATACGAGTATTTAGATCATTCTATACATAGCGGTAGAACTCGTACCAAGGCTCCCCCAGAGTCAGCTATAATTTATCAATCTGCGCAGCCTGGCTCGATCAGTCTGGTCCATAACCTCCCCAAAGAAAATTCAAAAGGTTCGGCTTCTCCCTTTTTTTTTTTTTTTTCTTAAGTAAGAATGTTCTAATGAAACTCTAATGGTACAAAAATTATTATCGTAGCATCTCTGGTTGTTGAAATGGGACCAGGTTCGGGGAGTATCGGGAAGTTCTTCGATCCCCGGAGTCTGATGGGTCGGGATAACAAATCGCCATTTTTCTCAAGTATGATCAAGCACAGGATTAAAATATAGGCTATAAGGTATTCATGCTGCATTCCTATAGAGATCTTCTGTCTGTATCTCTGATTTCAAGATCTACATATTGGGACTGGTGTTCTATGTCCAGAAATCTCTCGGGATTGGGTTCCGAACTTCCGATGCCCGATCATCGGCCCATCACTATTCGAGGTCCCTACTGAAGATGCGCCGGTATCCTTAACAGGCATGTCCATGTGGGGGGCGGGTTCTATCTTACTGTAGCATTAAATTAGAGAAGAAAAATATCTTGAGAGGTACCTTTCGCCATGGTTCTGGGTCTTTATATCCAGACTCCGTAGGACAAAAAACTACAAAAATTACAAAATTACGGCGGAGCCTTGGAACGAGACTACCATAGCGGTAACCTCTCGCTCTTTGTATGTACCGGTAGCGCGAGTAGATCATTCTGTGATATAAAAAGGGTTTGGGGACGAGCTTTCACTTTAGGGTTAGTTCGTCAGCGGATGCGACGCTTGCAATTGACGAACTACCACATACGGCCAGACCCTAAGGTCTGTTGCTCATGTGGTGGTGGGCGATCTGATTAGGTGTAAGGGGGTGATTGAGTGCCAAGACATATATTTACATACAAGAAGCTTGTAGGCTTGGCGCTTTTCTGTACGGTATCGTGTCATGAAATTAGGAGCATTTTAGTTTCATCCAATTAGTATCTCGCTATACTGCATACACAATGTATTTTAGATCTTTTAATTCATTGGCCGCGTTTTAGATGTTTTCGTTTTCGAGCTACTAGTATTGACTCGAGAAACGTTATGTTGGAGGGTATGTACTTGGTGGAGCCTACCCTTTCTTTTTGTTATTGAGTTTCATTATTCTGTGCTTATAGTGTTTCTGTGATGTATACCGTAGAATCTCAGGAATAACGAATCGGACTGGGCTGGAATACCACTTACCCGTTGGTCAAGACGACCAAGAGTTACGCTTTGGGTCTATCGGATTGAGTCTCAACCTTCATTTGACCAATTTGAAGCCCAGGATTCCCTGTCCAGTTCGATTCGTTATCCCTGACATTTTGCAGTATGGTTTGGGATTGTTTTGTGATTTTGATATAGCAACGGTGCATCTCTTTAGTAGCGCAATGCATACCCCTGGCGACAACCTTGTTTATTTTTTGTTTCTTTATGTTCACAAGACAAAGGCCGGAACCAGCTTGTATCATATATATCAAGTGGTAACGCATTTCTTTTGCTTTTGCTTGCCCTTTATATTTACAGTTAATAGTGAGTAGATCCTTCTGTGAGAAGAAAAAGGGCGCCATAATAAGCGCTGACACCCTAAAACTATTGGCTGTTGGGAAATCAGGCGGGTATCCCGGGCTACTTCAGTCGAGTACTGAGACCCTCCGCTCTCACCGTCACCTGTGTGAGGGTGGGGGTGGTGGGTTGGTGGAAGCGTTGGGTTACTATAATCACTGAGCTTTCATATTAGGGTTAGTTCGTCGGCGGATACGACGCTTGCAATTGACGAATTACTACATACGGCCAGACCCTAAGGTCTGGTACTCATGTGCGATCTGATTAGATGTGGTGTGGGTGTGTGAGGGGGGTGGTTGAGCGCCAAGACATACCACAACGGTGGACCTTTGTTTTTGTATGGTATCGTGTTCATATTACACACATATAAAGCAGTAACGCATCTATTTTTGCACGCGCTTAATATTTACAGGTAATAGCGAGTATATCATGCTGTGACATAAAAAGTAAAAAAAGGCCACCCCAATAACACTGACATACCAACACCATTCATTCTTCAGGTATCAGGTGGGTACCCCAGGCTCGTCCACTCACCTTTACCGCACTTTCAATCTGTTCTGGTAACAAATAGCTTTTCCTGCCACCTCCCATCCCCCCTCTTAAGCCCCCTCAGCGCACACAGCAGACGACCCACCCCGCTCGCTATGAATTCTCCCTATCAGCAGCTTTTCTAGAATTCCAATCGGAGATACACCCGGTCCAGGTCCAGGCTAGAGCACGGAGCGCCGCTAAAGTCCCCCGATTGATAGTTTGTTGCGAGCTTCTGTGAGCCGTGAGAGCCGGGAGTCCGAAGGAGTATAGAAGCAGCGGGGGAGGGAGGGATCGGAACGAACAAGTGCCAGTGCGAGGGTGGGAAACATAGTACCCGTGTTGGAAGGAGGAGAGACTGTATTAACATCTCCTCATGCTGGTCTCTCTCAAATCTTACTCTTGCGGACAGGTCAATCGCAGATTGTGCCCTTGTGGATGCTGGCCGCCCCCGATGTATTGAATTGAGGATCAGCTATATTACCCAGCTGTAAATGGCATCAAGCCACCTTGCCGCCAGTCATTAGATCTATTCAGCGCCGGGAGTACATTTTCGTAGCTGATGCAAAATCCGACTCCGGGGGTCTTGGTAGATATGCTTCGAGAGAGTATGGGGCGATGTCACATCTGCGGGGGTTCTAATTTGGTAGCTTGGTAGAACTTGGGAGATGGAGTTGTCCTAGCTGGAGGGGGTGGGAACATCTTTCGGTACACCCAACGAGATGGAAATGCAGCTTTTTCTTTTTTCTTTTCTTTTTTTTCGCAGAGGCGATGGTGTCTGGAAATAGTTAATGTTCGATATGTGGATGATGGCTCTGCGCAATTCCGAGCATATCCGTTGCGCTCTGCAGTCCCCGAATGCACCATTTACTCTTCTTCTGCGAACATACACCGATCCTTCTGTGGGTCCCTGGAATTATTATGCTCTCGCCGAAACCGGTGGCGATGACTTCGTGATCGAGTAAGCGTTCATGCAAGCATATCTCCTCGGTTGACTAGGCGTATCTCTACCTTCTGCCGCTGTTGAGTTAGTTCTTAGTTGTCTGTCCATTCAAGAACCTTACGCAACGAGGGACCTCTTTTCGCCTGCAGTGCAGCTACTTTCTCATGATAACTCGCGCCGTCATGTTGGTTTTTCTCAAGGCGCTAACTTTAGATGGACATCAGAGTGCGTCTGATATAACATGCTTAGGCTTTCTATTCAACCGTGTGACTGCCCTTTTTACATGTGAGACGCGGTGGCGGAGAAAGGGGGATGGCCGCGGGTGAGAGTTTCTCTAGGCATGATCGGTAAACACCTAACCCTCAGTAATAACCTAAGTTTTAACCCCAAGGCGGTTAATATATAAGTTCTCTGGGTCTCTCGCATGACTAACCATCTTGTTTAAATTACAAAATCTCTTGGAAAAATACCGATCTTGCAGGCTACGGCGCGGGGAATTCCGGCAGACTCCAGCGTAAACCACACACACACTCCAAACACACCGTCACAAGCACACATATCCAACCACACCCCTGCCTGGGGCCACCATACTCCCAAACGTAAAGCTCGCCAGGAAATGGCAACGGTTCCCCCACTCCGAGCCGCGGTGTAGATCTTCTTCTCCACCCCCCCAAAGCAGCACGGTAAGTCTTGGCACTCAAACACCCCCTTCACACCCACCCCACATCTAATCAGATCGCACATCGGCAACAGACCTTAGGGTCCGGCCATAAGTAGTAATTCGTCAATTGCAAGCTTCGCATCCGTTGACCCACTAACCCTATGGTGAAAACTCGGCGATTGCAATATCTTTAACCCTCCACTACCGCCACCACCACCACCGCACCCCCTCTATCCTACTCTTCCACACCACATCTCACGCAGGTGACGGTGAGAGCAGAGGGCTCAGTACTCGACTAAATCCAATGAATCCAATGGTTCAAACCGGTTTGTATGTGAAGAAGAACTGCATCAGCTCTACCGTTATCATTTAGTTCAAAGCCCAAACTGCACCAACCGTATGCCCCAGATTTTTGTACGGTTTGTACTACATATACCATGGTGCAAACGCTGAGCATATCAATGTACTTTATAGTCTCGCCAAACAATATGGAGATCTCCGGGCCCCTACATTGCTCCAACCCCTATGCCAAACCCCCCTAACTGGATCCACCATGTGCATTCTTCTG